CACCTATCATATAAAAATTTGTGGATACACTGAAAACTGTATTTCAGAGGAAATTTATAACATTTAAAACATTCTTAGGAAAAAATTAAAGTCAATCAAGGGCTTAACTTACCACATTAAAATGCACGAAAATGAAGATAAAATTAAAGTAGAAAACAAGAAGAAATAAAGAGTAGAAGTCAATGAATTAGCAGATATTGATAAAATAAAGAATACTAACAAAGCCAAAAAAATGCTTTTGGAAAAATATCATAAAATTGGTAATATCTTGATCGATAAATAACAGGGATATAATACAAATGAACAATATCAAGAATTACACAGGGAACATCACTAGAAAAATTTTTTAAAAGATATAAAATTAACCAATTAGCCACTTAGATAAACAGATAATCTTTTTTAAGACCAAACATACCAAAACTGTCAGGGGAAGAAAAAATCATCTGAATGGCCTTACATTTGTTATTAAAAAAAAAAAAAAAAAAAAAAAGGAATGTAAATTTGAAATAAAAAAGCTTCCCAGAAAAACTTCATGCCCAGATGACTTCACTGGTAAATTCTACCAACTATTTAAGGGGAAAATGAAGACATGATCTTAACCATATTATGTATTTCAGAAACTGTAGAGAAGGATTATTTACCAGCTCATTTCTTGAAGGCAGCACAGCCCTGATAGCAAAACCTGAGAACGACATTACAGGAAAAGGGAATTATAGACCAATATCCCTCACAATCATAGGATCAAATATCATTGACAAAATAGTAATGAAGCAAAGAGCATATATTTGAAAATAAAATTATGACATGACCAAATGTGAGTCATCCTAGGAATGCAAGATTGGTGTCATTAAAAAATCATTCAACATAATTTGCCACATTCAGATTAAAATAGAAAAATGACATGATAATCTTAAAAATGCACAAAAACTAAATGACAAAATTTAGTGTCCATTCTTGATAAGGCATCTCGCCTACCTAGGATTAGAAAAAAGTTTCCTCAAGCTGTTCGAAAGAGCTTTGAAACACCTCCAGGTGATTATTATACTTTATGGGATATGAGCATCTTTCCTGTTGACTTAGGAAGGAGGCAGTGATGTCTGCTTTCAGTATGTTTTCCCACATTTTTCTGGATGATTTCAGCCAGTGCAATCAGAAAAGTAAGAAATAAAGATTATGCAGGAAGAACTAAAATGGCCTTTATGTGACCTTTACATAATTGCATAGTTAAGAAACTACAAAAATCTACAAGAACTAATAAGTGAACTGAACCAGGTTATATGATAGAATGTAAGTATACCAAAATCAATTGTATTTTATGTACTAGAAAAAAATGTAAAAAAATTATTAGAATAAATATTATTTAAAATGCCATAATAGAATAGTACTTAGAAATAAATGTGCCAAAATGTATATGATATTCTTGACAGAAATTGAAAAAGACATCAATAAATGAAGAGGTAAACCATGTTCACGATTGGAAGATTCCATATTGCTAAAATATCTATTTTCCCCAAATTGATCTGTATGTAGATTCATCATAACTTAATCATAACCCCAGTAGGTGTTTTGTTTGTTTGTTTGTTTGTTTTGATAAATGGACAGGTGATTCTAAAATAAATATTTAAATGTGAGGAACATAAAACAGTAAAATCAATTTGGAAGAGAGAAAAATATTGAACAACTTACACAACCTAATTTCAAAAATGACTATAAAGTGCTAGTAATTATGGCACTGTAATATTGGCTTTAGTATAGACAAACAAATTAATGAACAGAAATCGAGCCACACATAAATTGTCAACTGATTTTTTGACAAAGGTGCCAAGTTAATACAAGCTAATCCAAGTTAATTAATGAAAGAATTGCTTAAGCACTAACCAAATAAATAAATGAATTGGATTTCAAAACTTTAAAATCTTGAGTAGTACATCAACATACACCATTAAGAAAATGCATAGAAAAGCCCGAGATTACCCTGTAAGTTGAACTTTTACATAATATTGAATATAGAGAGTGCAATGAAAATAGTATTCCATTAATACTATAATATCCAAAATATTTTAATTCCAAGCATGAACTTATAATGATAAAATAAAAGGAAAAACATAACTGGAAAGTTATTCTTTATACTTAATCATATAGACCATGATAAAGATGACAACACTTCCTAATTTACTAAAGAAATTTTAATGTAAGAATAATTAACTTTCTCAAATTATTCTATATAACATTTTTAAATGAAATTTCCAAGCCAAGGAAATATGCCTTTAGTTTTAGTTTATTGACTATTCTTAATCATGCATTTTTTTAGGTTGAATTGGGACAATCGAGAATTCAATAATTAGTCTTTGATTTGCTAGTGAATATTCACACAAACTTTCTAAAAAAATACTGGAATGTAAATTAGATCATGAACAGCCCCCAAAACATAACAAGACACATAATCTTAATAAACGTGTTGAAGATGCACGCTTTAATTGCAGAGAAAACACACACCCCTATCAGTGTTGACGTTGCACTTTGTAACACTAGCAGATACACTGTCTCAGTTGCTTTTTAGTTGCCTGAGGGCCTAGAACTGGAAACAAATGCTTAGGAGATGTGTGCAGAAAAACAGAAAGAAAACCCTCTACAAAGGACAAGATTATTCAGGACTATGGAATCAAGATTGAAGTTCCAGAATTGCCATGAAACTCATTACTCTTATAGTCACAGAAGCAATAGCAAAAATTACCCCCCAAAAAACACAGTGGATGAAAAATTAACAATAAAGAAACAACATATCTGATGATGCAACAACGATATTCTGAATAGTGTGTCCTAGTATTGCAGTATACTGATCAAAATCTAGGAATGCCTGTTCGTACCAATAGGGCAATGTCACACTTTTCGACCAAGCCTGGTAACTGGAATAACGTCAACTTCTTATTGGTTGAAGAGGAAGCAACCATGGTCTGAAAGAAAGCCTGGGAAGCAGTGATTTACTGTGATGATTTTTCCACATAAAAAGTGGAAAAATCCATAAGACATTGGAATACTGTTTATAAAAGCATTCTGTACATGTTCATCTGGTCTCTTATCTTCCATGTATTGCAGATATTCTCATAACCAAAACCCTGCAAGATGTGCATCTACATAGTCTCCCAGACATTTTCTCAGTGTTTGCCTAGCATCTCTATCCCAGTAGGCAAAGGTTTCGGTAACAATAACAGTAGCCCTGGGACCATAATCTGAAAAATGCTCTTCATCTCTATTAAAATATGGTGTCATGTAGGGATCATCGCTTGCCAAATTTTGAAGGTCTAAACCTTCCTACCCTTGGAAACACTCAGATACACTGCTCAGGCTGTACAAGATGCTTAGAAGCACCTGCAAACACTTGGACTCGGTGCTTGTGAACAAAGGGTCAAAATAGTCTCTTAGAGCATCATTCATGTACATTTCTTAGAGCATCATTCATGTACAAAATAGTCTCTTAGAGCATCATTCATGTACATTTCTGAAAACTCGCAAAACAGAATAGCAACAATTGGATTCTTTCTTTCTCAAATGAGAGATTGGAAAGGCAGTGGGTACTCTTTCCACTAGATGGTAAGCTTATATTGTTATTAAAGGGAAATGATTCCTAGTTAATAGCATTTTAGATTCAGATGAAAAGTTAAATGTATAAAATGTATGAAATTTATGAAAGTTAAATATATGAAAACCTAATGGTTGTCTTCACATGTTATAACATAAGAGTTTCATCCCAAGAAAGTTTTCAAAGTTATTTCTAATTGATCTTTAATTTTTAGCTATAATCTTCCATTATTTATTTCTAATATTTTATATATATTCTTTAATTTGATCCTTCACCAAAGGATTTTGATCAGAATGTCTAATGATGTCCATGTTTAATAATTGTATTATGTCAATATAATCTATGCTACCTGGTGTTGATAAATTCATTTTTATTTTCCACCCAGTTTTAAAGGGCAAAAATATATTACTCAAATATTGGCAAAACCATTACACAGACAAATGTTGTGACACTGTCAAAAATGAACTATTAGTAAAGTTGTTATTCCTGAGCTGATAAACATCATCCAGACTCACCTTTGGAAAAACAATTGAAGGATTTAAGTGACAGATTTAAAGGGAGTTACAAAATAAGTGTCTGAAAAACAAGAATCAGCTGTAATAATGTTACAGTTTTCATAAATAAACAAGTTAATAAAATACCACGTAAAAGAGTGGGCAGATCTGTTTTGGCCATACGGGATTGCATAAATTGGTGAAGTCAAAAGGCAAAAGGAGCAAACTTCCTTTTCCTTTTAACATATGTAGAGAAATAGATTTCTCTGAACTCAGGCCTGATTTAAAAAGCAGATAGATACAAAATATATTTTAACATTTTTAATTTGCATTTGTTCAAAGGTAATCGTTATTCTATGTGATAGATTTTGAGGTTAAAAATAGAACGTTTGAACATACGAAAGTTACTTTTGTAATTAAGCTTTTAAATGCTTTTATAGTTTAAAATTAAAATGAATAAATTTGGCATTTAAAGTTTTTTTATTAGTTTTCTCATTTATGGTTTTTGCTTCTCTTTAGATTCTGCCTCTTATGTATCTGCTTTTCTATTTCAGGGATCATGTGAAAGAGTAAAAACTCAGCCAAAATTCAGGGACATCTGAAGGGAACCAGGTGCTGCCCACCAGCAACCTCTGAGGTTGGAGATGACTGGGCCTTGCACACGTGCTCTGTGTCCTCTTGGCTGGTGGGCCTCTGTGTGCACACTCAGTGACTTCAACCTCTGACTAGCACATGCTCCCTCCTGTCTAGAAGTGTTGCTTGGTAACAGTTATGGCTGAAAGATTCTAAACTGCCAAACTGCCCTGCTGGAATGTTGTGGCGAGAGGCGGTTGGCTTATCTGGAAGCGCCTTTCGAGCTCAGGGACGGAGAAAAGGAGAGGAGCTGAGGAGTATCTGAAGCTCGTAGACTTGACAAAGACTGGGACATGAAGAAGATTTTTGGATTTGAGAGTTGGAAGGGCAAGTTGCCCTTTGGATCCCTAACCAAATGGCAGAGGAACAGCATCGGCATCAGTCCCAAGGATGATAATAGTACCACCTCTTGGAACCGGTACCACATCCAAGATAAAGATCTCAGAAAGATCCACAGAGCTGCTAGCGCAGGCAATGCGCAAGAAATGGAGGAGATTCTTTTGACAAGTTTAAGGCACTTAAATGATAGAGACAGGAAGAACAGGTAATGGGGACTGTGAGGCCAGTGGGCAGGGGTGAACCTGGAAGAAGGGCTCGTCTGCCTGGGCACAGCCAGGTGAAGCCGGCTCTCCCATCATGGAGGATGCTGGGCTGTCTTCCGGCCCTAAATTCAACCCCACAGTGCCTTGGCAGTGGGGACCTTACCTGGGGCCTAGCGCCCAAATAGACTTAATGAGCAGCAATAAGGAAAACTTTAAGACCCACTTGTAATTCTCCTTATCGAGCACTTTACTGATGATTTTAAAGAGATTTAACTTAATATAATAATAGAAAAAAATTAAATATGTATGGCATTTTATTTTTGACGTTCAGGTTTTTATACCATAATGTTGATATACTATAGAAAACTGTATAATGAGGAAAATAGATCCCATAATAGATCAATTTGTGGGCTAAAAACTCTTCAGAAAAAAATCCAATGTCCATTTTATAGCAGTGCACACCTATGGATGTGTGGTCTTTATTGAGGAACTTCAGAAGGGAACTTTGAAGTGGGAAAATGTCTGTGGTCTTGAATAGAAAGACTCGTTTTCTCAAAATGTGTGGTCTTTCTACATTTATCATTCTTACATAAACCAACACTATCAGGGTGTTAAAATTTTGGGGTTACACACTGTGTTTTTTTGTCTTGATGAAATTAAGACAAATTTTGTATAATAGACAGAGATTTGCCTTTCTAGATACCAACATGTGCTATAGATATCCAGAAATTAATTTGTTTACTAATAGCTGAAAGGACAGAAAAATGATTGGAACAGCCCAGAAAATGCCCAAATACCCAAATATATATATGTAAGTCTTTAGAACTGGTAACATTTCATGTTCGTAGGAAATACCTGGCAATAAATACCTGTTAAGTATTTGGAAAAATCTACGTAGATTTTTAAATCACAAAAATTAGTTCCAGATGGAATATAAGTTAAAATTTTAAACATAGAAAATGAGAAAAGTCCCGAAAGAAAACACAACTGCCTATTGATAACTTTTATGTTGCTAAGACTTCAAAAGCAAGAATTCTGAAGGTTGACTGAGCACTATGAAAAGTCAAAGCCCTTTGTATATCAAAAAAAAAAAAATGATATTAACAAAATGAAAGAAAATGTTCTTGCAAAATATTTAAAATATAAGTGTATCAGAGAAAAGGTATATCTTTATTTCACAGAGAAAGCCTTGAAATCAATAAGAAATTGGAAACTGGACAAAACACTTTTTCTATACCTACAATTGACCAATAATCATAGGAAAAAATATTTAGTGTCACTGGTAAGAAAAGAAATTTAAGTTAAAACAGGAATAAAAAAGATGTCTCCATCCATAACGCTTGCGAAGATTTGGGGCCATGGTACTTAAACAGTTATTTAAAGTTCAAGAAGCTTTTCACTTTTTAAACAGGCAGTTGGGTGATAAGCATCACATTTAAAAACATATATTCTCTTTACTCATCAATTCCATTATTACTAAAGTATCTTCATGAAATAATTAGGTTAATTACATACAATTGATTTTTCTAAGCACTGCTTACCATAGCAATGTATTAAGATGAGCTCATAGAAATGAATGATAAATAAATTGCAGTGCATCCACAGGATGAGATATGTGACTATTAAAGGTGGTATAGATCATAGATGTATGTTGTCATGTAAGATATACTTTGGTAATCAGAAATGGAGAAAAAAATTGGTTTGATTATACTTACATCCAAAAAAGAAAATTTTCACTTATACTACAAATGCTCGGAAATACATTTTATCCCATTTTGCACATATTTTTGGCAAAATGGGATAATATGTGCAAAATGGGATGAAATGCATTTCCGAGCATTTGTAGTATAAGTGAAATTTTTCTTTTTTAAAAGACCTGATTTCTACAATGAACATGTATAGATATCCCAGTAAAAGTTTATTATTAATGAAATGATCCTGGGGAAGGGCAGGAATATGAATCTTGCATGGATGAAAATGATTCCTTTCTATTTTTTGAAGTTTGTTGATGATCAATATCTTTTGACAATTTTAATGTCTTCAGAAATAAAATAAATTCTTTCATCAGTGACTGTGGAGTTTATGTATATATTTCAGCATACACATATATATTTTTTATTATATGTAGCTTTATTACATATATGTAAAGGATTGTAATCATTTTAGTTGTGTCCTTATGATAGGAAAAAATCAATAAGAGCACATATAAGTGATTACTACTAATGCAGAAGTATTGCTTTACTGTATAAACATTTCTTTATAAATATTGAATTCTGCAACTATAGTTATCCATTCTGTTGATCCATTAATTCATCAAAGATAACCTAGATACCTATTTGTAGTGGACATGGTCTTTTCAGGACCCTTTCAATCTGTCTCTCAGATCTTTTCATCCTTCAAAACTTCATGGTGCTCAGAATAAACCAAATGAGAAATTGAAAATTGTAGTGTTTAAAACTGAAGCTTTTCTCCCTCCTTTGAAAAGTATATCTGAAAGTAGGAAATTGTAAAAGATAACCATTACTGGTCCTTTTTAAAATGTATAATAGTATTAAATGCTAATATCAATCATTGGAAATATCTGATTTTCATATAACCTCTATGTCTAACTATTGAATAAAATGAGCCATCACTATTCATTTGAATACTGAGCTCCCTTTCACTTAAAAGTTCTTGACAATCAAACTAAGAATTACTTGAAAAAAATTCTTTTCCTGTTTTGTTATTTTAGTCATCTTTCCTTATAATACTTTTAAGAACTAAAATTTACTTCAATACCAACCAAATATCCAGAACTGCAATAGGTCTGTTGGATAGACCATTATTTCACTTAGTGTAAGGCACCACGGATTAGAATATGATGCCCACTATTTTAATCACCAATAAGAGAGTGTTAGAAATGCTGCCAATTATGGGTGAAAAGCACCCAGAATTGTAAATTGCATTTTAGTGGCAGAGATGTTAAAATGTAAGAAAATAAGCATCTTAAGAAGCATTGAAACATTGTATTCTTTCTATTTTTTAACACACATTTGCCAATAAAAGCATAATGATAACATGTTACTAAATTGAAATGTTGTCTTTGTAAAGTAGTCATAATAATTATAATAATTTAACAATTATAGAGCTGTTTTGTGCTAGGAACTGTAGCAAATACTTTGCATAAGTTCCATTTAAGCAAACAACAATGTCCTGTGAAATAACCACTATTTTTATCCCCATTGTATGGATGGGGAAATTGAGGCACAGAAAGAGTAAGTGATAACTAATAAGTGACAGAGTGAAAATAGAATCAAAACGAAATTGAGCCGATCCCCAGGTCATGCTCTCTCTATTCACATAGGCTGCTCTTTTATTAATGTGGTGAGTAACATGAGCTAATAAATATTGTACATTCTCCAGAAGAAAACTAAATATTTGTTTCTCCAATTTCCTAAAACTCCTCTCACTTTTATAGGACTGCTCTACATTTGGCCTGTGCCAATGGCCATCCGAAAGTGGTAGCTCTCCTAGCAGACAGTAAATGCCAGCTTAACCTTTGTGACAATGAAAACAAGACAGCCCTGATTAAGGTACATACATAGTAGCCAACACTGTCAACATGAGATGGATTTGATTTAACTGGATAATTAGAATCATTTATCTCATTTAAATAGAACTAATTGGTAAAAGTTGTGTAAGGTTTCCTTTGAATTCCTAACACTTCCCATCTGTTTCTGGGCACAATACCGACAGGCCGTACAATGCCAGGAGGAGGAATGTGCAACTATTCTGTTAGAACGTGGTGCCGATCCAAATATAATGGACATCTATGGCAACACGGCTCTGCACTATGCTGTTGCTGGTCAGAATATGGACATAGCAACAAAGCTACTTTCATACAAGGCCAATATTGAAGCAAGAAACAAGGTATAGATCAACTAAATTCATTTATAAAATATTGGAAATACATGTTTTTTTGTTTTTGTTTGTTTCTTTTTTTTTTTTTTTTAGCCACAGCATATTTTTTCTAATATATATACTGTAAATTATATATCAGGCACTGACACCATGGAAAGAACTTAAAGCCAAGTCAGGGAGGACAGACGTATCCACGGAATGAGCAAAGCTCTGTCTCCTGGTTACTGCCCTTCCACCCCAGAAGGAAGGACTTCCTGATAGTGCCTGGGAGCAGGTGATAGGCTCAGTACTCACAAAATACTGAGAGCCTGGGAAGAGTGAAGTGATGGTGGGGGCTGGCTTCTGTGCAGGCAATGGCCTAGGAAGTGGGATCCTCTAGGCATGGGGGAGAGGAGGAATGGAGACCTAGCCCCCAGCAGGGAGAGTTGTGTGAGTACCAGTGGGAAGGGGAAGCAGCAGGCCACAAATCTTGAACAATCCAGAATCCCAATGTTCTAAAGACTGGGGCAAGTGGATCAGGTCATGTCTGGACCTTCGGCAAAGTATGCACTTGTGCTCATAGCCACTCTGCCAGCCAGTGACCAATTTTAAAAAGGTAGATATGCATTTGGGTCCCAAGATTATCACTATAATTTTACTTCTGTTTTAGATTTTGCCTAAAATATAAAATGTTTTGTTAATAACAATCAAAATGAAACCAGAATAAAGACTAATTTTAATAAAAATAGATATACATTTGGGTCCCAAGATTATTATAATTAAGAATAAAGTTTCAGATTGAGCTTTGTAACAGCTAAAGTAAAAATCTGTCATTTTATAATCTGAGAAAACCCATGGACCATTCAGTAATAAACAATCAAAGTTTATATGAAGTCCATGTCTTTTTAATTTAGAGTCCATTTTCTTCATGACTCTTTTGGAGCAGGGGTGCCTGAAACTGACACTTGAGGTCCTAATAGCATTGATAGAAGAGAATCCAGCAAGTTTGTACAACCTGGAGAAACCTTCTCTTCTGTTGGAAAGCTTTCAAAACTGTATCCCTGAGATAACATTTTCTCAAATGTTAATGTTTGCCACAAAAAAATATTGTCAAATTGGGATTTAGCTAAGTTAAACATTTCCTTAGGACTAGGCATATAAAGCATATTCTGTATTACTTCTCAAACACAGGTAATCCTTCTGGAATCTTTCTATCGGGGCACAGTATTTAACTTCTGGTAGATATTCTTTGGACTATGATTTGTGAAACACTACTCCAGTGATAATCATTTACATTATTAATTCAATAAAAATACTTAAAATGTTTACTGTTGTGATTTAGTGTTTGGAGCTACAGAGATTTAAAAAAAAAAAAAAAAAAAAAAAAAAAAAAAGCCCCTGCCCTCAAGAAGCTCTTGGTTTAGATGGAGAGCAATACAATAACTACTGAATATTACGATAGATACTTTGATAGGAGCCAGGATTCTTGGAGCCGGTGCTGTCAATGTTTGAAGAGAGTTTTGTAGAATGATGTTGCAGTTAATCTGTTGAAGGGTAGAGGAGGGTATTTTAAAGAGAAGGAGCAGCAGGTGACAGCCCAGAAGGATATTTTTAGAATTTCTATATTACAAGCTTAAGATTGCATTATATTTTACAAGTTTTAAAATTCGGGTTTGAGTTATGTAATTTCATAAGTTATTAATGGTTTTTGCTGTTTTACAGAATGAACTCACACCACTTTTACTTGCCGTGAGTGAAAACAAACAGCAAATGGTGGAATTTTTAGTAAAGAGGAATGCAAATGTACATGCAGTCGATAAGGTGAAAAGGTACCGATGTTTGTCTTCTTTTAACCTTATATTGTTCTAGAGTGGTAACAATCACTCGGGTCAGAAAGATAACTTAATAAGAAGAGGATTAACTTATACTTATGTAGTGAAAGTTATCAGGACATCATTCATTAGGGGAAAAAGTAATTCTGACCGGACAACAGGAAGAATAGGATACTGCAGTATTCATATTTGTATTTATTTACAATATTGATTAATGCCATTTGTAATTTGATGTTTTTGGTCATGAGATCTTATATTAGTCAAGGGGTTTCATATTAGTTTTATTCATCATATATTGTATGGACTCTGAGGGGTTTCATATTAGTTTTATTCGTCAAATATTGTATGGACTCTGACTTTTACTTATGATACAATATTGAAATTAATTTCACTTATAGTATTTTTAAACCTGTACTTCATATATAGTTTTCCTTAAAAGGTGCATATTAAACATAAATCAGAGTTGATTTTGTCTTTTGGATGACTCTTTGCTTTAAATTGTGATTTTTGATTAATATTGATGTTATTAGATTATCCCTATGAATTACTACTCCCAGATACTAAGAGTTCCTCACTTTTTTCCTTTTTCATTTCAAGTATATTTTGATGTTTTTATTTCTAATTGGTATGGGTAGAAGGAGGAAAGATAACTTTAATGGAATGAATTTTTCCTTTAATGAAAACGAGTCATCGGTGAGTGATAAATTAAAAAAAAAAATGGGCTTTCAATTCACACAAGACTGGGTTCAATGCCTAGCTTTCCAACATGCCAGGTGTGTGACCTTGGGAATGTTACTTATCATCACCAAATATGTGTCCTGATGAAAAGGAGGATAATAATATATCCTGCAATTGTGGATGTAAGAATATCCAGCATTTCATTTAGCGCTAGCACATACTTATCAGCATCATTAACTCTAGGACTATTATTATTATAATTATTATTAATGTTATTGTTTTGAACCTGCAAATAGCTATTATTACCTAACTTCTAGCTGAGTTTTGATACAATAAATATATCAGACCAAGGAAAATACAGGATTTCTTCATTTAAATCTTCAGCTTCTTCAAATAAGGGCCCTCAACATAGTTTCTTATCTATTTAAGGACTTTAAATTGGCAACTTCCATGTAAACCCCAATTGGAGCAGGAGGCATCTTTTTGTCCCTTTCTTTTAGCCTTGTTGGTAATTTACAAAGATGAACACGTAAACATGTAAATGGTCAATTCTACACAGACAAGGACGATATGAACTCAGTAAAGTATATCAAATTAGCTGAAATAACTTTATTAACATTCTGAAGGGTGAAGTTATCTCTCTGTTATTTTAGAACAGCCCTCATGCTTGCTGCAAATGATCCATCCTCAGATATAGTCAGGCTTCTCCTTCAGCAAGGTGTCGATGTCTTCGCTAAAGATAACAATGGATGGACTGTAGAAGAACATGCTTTGAAGAGAGGTTTTAATTTGTAAGCATTTACATTAAAATGCTAGTTATCACAAAACTGAGGTGTACAATAATTTAACTGTTACATCTTTCACAACAGGTGAGATGTCATAGTATGGTTCAGGCAGTTTGGCAATGGCAGTGAGTTAGTGTCTATCCTCAGACAGAGACCACACTAAAGGCTGGACTAGGCAGAAGTAACAATGGGCACAGATTCTTTATCCCTAGGGATCCTAGAATGACCTATTTTATTCCCAAAATAACCCCTGTGCCTGGGATACAAATAATGTCTCTTCTCTAATTTTTCCAATTAGGTATTTTGGGTCTGGAAATGTCAATTTAGCAGAAAATTCTGCATGGGAGGGGCAGGGGGTGGAGGGGAGCTATCTTCTATACTCTTCCCCTTGAATTTTTCAAAAAGCTAAGGAGTTCCCTAAGCCCAAGGGAAACAATCCTCTCTCCCAAGTCAGATGGAGGGGTAAAGGAGGACATGCTAATCAGTCTGTTGCGTCCATTGATTCTATTGCTGCACAGTGGCTCATTAAAACTGGACCTGGGGTTATGATTGATTGACCTTTGCTCCCAGGTTGCCCTTGCTGATCTAGATTCCTCAGTCTTCATGGTGATCCACACTTGGACTTCCAAGTGACAACTTTTTTAGGTTATATATGTATGTGTTTTTGTTCAGCCCTATTCCAAAGGACCAGCACCCCGTTCTGGTAGCTGGGCCTCCTAGTCTTAGGTACACACACCCTTTGCCCCACATTCGAAAACCTAGGTGGAATTCCCCTCTTAACCCAGACCTTCAGGGTGAGTTACCCTTTGAACATCTTGTTTGTGTTTTCTGCTAGCAAATGCTAGCTGGAAGCATTCTAAGTTGTCAGAGTGGTTCAAATAAGGAAAAGATCAGGCTTTCTTTTCTCCTTTGTTACCAGATCTGCACCACAAGAGCACTTGATATCCTGCACCTTTTCTTCAGTGATGGAGAGTCCCATAGTGCCCTCCCAGAGTAGCAAACACCAACTTTCCTAAGATTCCAGTATTAAGTTTGGCTCCTCAAGTGATCTGTTTTTTAGAATAATGAAAATCTTCCAAGTGACTTGAATCTACCTCAGGGCTCAAAATAATTACAATTATGCCTCCTGTGGAAGGCAGTCAACAGAAAGCTCTGAATCTAAAGTAGGTTATTTGGCATCAGAGTAACAAAGCCCCATCCATGACTCATCAGTATCCATGTGCAAATGTAGTATTAGGTAGGTAGGTAGTCAGGCATGAGCGACAGGAGCAAAGGCCCAGCTCTGTAACCATAGAAACCTCCCTTGAGGACCTTCCTTAGGGACTTCCCACAAACACTTCCCTTTTAGGGTTATAAATTACCCTAAATCCTAGAGCACAAAGGCCATAAAAGCTGTTGGCTAAATCAGCTACAAACACATGCGCAGAAAATACCACCCATAACTTCAACCTCGTTATACCATCATTATAAAATCATGACTATACCTAAAAGTTCATGAATCTAATTATAACAGACTGAATTCTGGGTGAGCACGAGCGCACTAGGCAAAGTTATGTAGCAGCCAACTGTCAGTCAAAGTGACCTCACATAGAGATCATCTAGGCCCTCCCATCATGGCCCAAATATAAACAGACCTTCCCATTTCTGCATTGTTACAGCTTTCCTGGCAGAAATCCACCCCTTCCTTTGGGGCATAGTATCTTATCTCTTCATCTCCTAAATTCCACAGGGCTGCAGCCTTCCTTAGCATGGCCCTTCTTCTAAAATATATTTTCAATAAATCTTACTTTTTCTCAAACTCATCAATCTGTAATTCTTTGCTGCATCGGTAGGGAAGAACCAAGGGACAACACACATAATGCCACCATCCACTGTCCTCCACCTCCTCCTCCCAGATGTCACCTCACCCCAGCAGTGACAGTAGGGGTATATCTTCTAAATAATAGGGGTATATCTTCTAAATAATAGGGAGATTCAGCATCATTCTAATAAAGATCTGCTGCTTTAATGATTGAGTACTCGGAAAAGGGAAGTAGTAGTCCAAGCCAGGTCTTGACCTCTATTAGGTTTCTGCCTTTGGTGTGATTAGCTCCAATAACAGAGGACACTTTTGTTATCTGATTTAATGAGGTAATATCTTTATAAATACATTTAGTAAAAATTATATAATAGGCAAGATGCCCTGAATTACAAAGCATAGAGAAGGATAGCTAATGATCAAAATTAATAATGTTTTCTGAACACTGTAACATTTGAATATTAGCACCAATAAAAAACACATGGGGTTTATTTGGGATTCTAAAATAGTTTTAGTAAAGAAAGTTTAAGAACAGCTCATTCCATCGTCTTTTTCTTTCTGTGGGCATTTTTTTTTGGTGTATGTTCTCATTTAATCTTCCTTGTAAAATAGGGCAGTAAGTTACTCATTTTGTAGTGGAGGACTCATAGCCTCAGAGAAGCATTTTGTCTGACAACAAATAGCTGTTGGTTTTAGATCTAAAACTTCTGAGATCAAGACACTTTCCATTATGTTGAGCTACGTCTAATTAATTAACTGAACTTGTGCCCTCAATTTATGACTGTTTGATCTTCCCTTTTTTTCTTTAATCACTTGCTTACTAATATGTTTGTAGAACTTACACATTTGAAGTGTATAGGGTAATTAAATATTAATGTTACCTCTGATATCATACAAAATACTCTAAGAATTTTATATATTTGGTAAATATTTTCAATTTAGAATAAAGATAGTAATGTTATTTATCACCTGTTTATACACAGCAATTGTAAATTAACCTCTGAGAATAAAGAAGAAAGGAGGTGTAAAGAGTCTTCTCAGAATAGCAATCCAGGTAAGACTTCTGATACTTCCTTACCCTTGGTGGTCCTACCATAGATAAAGTAAAAGAAAGGAAGTTTTGCAAATGACAGTGTGGTGAAAAGAAAAAAAAAATGTGGAAATTGCATGCATATTTTATCTTTTTTCATTTCTTAACAGTCTAGTATTGAGAATTATTATGAGATAATTGTATGTGTCTTAAAATGAAGACAGTATTGTGTGAAAAGAAATTCATTTAGTCATGACCCTAGATACCTGTTGATATCATTGTGTAAATAATTAAATGATTTTTAAGTTAGTATGTCATACGTTTCCTCTATAATCACCTTGCAAAAAATTATACTTGTTATAAAACTTGATCTTTTGATGAATTTTTACAGCAAATGCACACATTTAAAAAATGATTACTTGTTATTACACAATGATTTGTCTCACTAAAAATGTAACTAAAACTAGGACTCAACAATACCTTCCCAGTACCATAAACAGATGGCAAACAATAAGAACCACAAAACTTAGCCAGTATGCAGCAATCCCAAAGAGATCGCTTTTTAAAGATGTCTACTGAGAGAATAGATCAGAAATGCAAAAACCTTGTTGAAAGCCTATATATTTTACACATTGTTATTATGCTAACAAAGTCTCTTAAAATTATCACCTTCATTTCTAGTAAGCTAAAACAACATGAGATATGTTAACTTGAAAGAAGATTTTTTTTTTTTCTTTTGGTTAGGTAATTGTCATGATGCTGTAATTTCTTTAGAACAAGATGCTCTGTTGCCATTGGTCCAAAGATAATCCTGATAAATATTCACATAGCCTAAATAGGGACTCAACAAATTGTACGAAAAGTACAGAAAAAGTTTCACAATTACAAAAATGCTACTATGCTAAGTGGACGTGGTACCCACCTAGTGACTGTACAATCTTAACTGTATGAAGACACCTTTAAGTTAGTAGAACTTGATCAAAGAATCTCTTCATTTTACACGTTATAGAAAACACAGAGATGAAATAAAATTTTTGTCTTTAAGGTGCTCATTATATCATAGAGTCATCCCAGGTTTATTTCTGTTTTATTATTATTATTACTAACCCTTTTCCATTTAGAAAAAAAAATGTGCAGCTCACTGCTACTGTTCATTTAACATCACATGTAGGAATGCTATGTTTTCTAGGATTTGACATTTTCAGAGATTGAGAATTACTATGTTTTGTAAATGGAAATGCCATTATAAAACACAGAATACTATAAATAGAATGATGTCATATGTTTCCAAAGACTATCAACATCTGGGTAAGGTTAGGACCGTAATCTGTGAGTTATCTTGAGGTAAATGCTGTAACCCCAAGCGTGGTCGGGGAATATATCGGGGCAAACAGGAAAAGGGTTAAACAGAATTTTCAAAGAAAGCTCGTATTTCCTTTATTCATTTGTCTGTTTAATGGTTTGCTATTTAACTATCAAATGTCTTTAAATGCTGAGTTTTTCTGATATGTTGCTAAATACAAATATTTTAAAAATATAGTCTGAATGATCTCCCAAAACTTGTTATTATCATTGTCATGTTTATTATTTATTATATTTATTCAGTGCTCACTAGGTACAAGAGCCCACTGGGAACTTATAATTATTATCTGTAATTTTTATTAGACTGTAATATATGCCAGGTACTTTAATTTTATAATGAAGAATTACAGTTTCAAAAATGTGGGTAGGATTTAAGGTAAGCATGAAGAGTGAGTAGAAGGTTACCAGGCAAAGTCCAAAGGACAATGTTTGGCAGAAGAACATCTATCAAGATTACACATTTGGCAGAAAGAACAGCAGTGCAGAGCATAGGGCGCACAAGTGAACTTTGCAGGATTTAGGAGCCATTCAGTTTCAATGGTACAAAAAGTTTACTATGGGAATGGTTGAGAATGAGATGAATGGCTAAGGCATGGTTAAGAGAGTCTTTAGTACCATAGAAAGGAATAGAGCTTATCCTGTAGGCGTTGGAGAATGCATCAGATAGAATGCTTTTAGATACAGATAATAGGTGACCTAGGTAACACTGCGTAAAAACAGCAAGAACCGCAATTGTTTTGGTGATTCAATGCTGTCATCAGGATCCCAGTTGTCATCCTTGTTTCAGCTGTGAGGTTGTCAGTGTTTCATTTCTATCTCTTTTCCTGGCCAGCTAATGAGCAAGGGCGCCAAGCATCATATTCTTTCATGATAATATCATGATAATATCCAAAGTCTGGAAGGACTGCTTTTCTTTACATGTTTCTTTTTTCTTTCTAATTTTTTTTTTATTAAGGTATATTTGGCCTACAATATTATATTAGTTTCAGGTATACAACATACTGACTTGACATTTATATACCTTACAATGTGATCACAAGTCCAGTAACCATCTATCACCGTGCAATGTTATTACAATGTTATTGACGTATTTCCTATGCTGCACAGCACATCCCTGTGGCTGATATAGTTTACAACTGCAAGACTGTACTTTTCATTTACCTTCTTCTTTTTCTTCCATTCCCTCAACTCCCTCTTCTCTGGCAACCATTAATTTGTTCTCTGTAGCTCAAGGTCTATTTCTGTTTTGTCCATGTGTTATTTTCGTGTTTTTTAGATGCTACATACGAGTAATGCCATTCAGTACTTGTCTCTCTGGAGGTTTTTTTTTGGTTTTGTTTTGTTTTGTTTTGTTTTGTTTTGTTTTGTTTTGTTTTCACATAGCATAATACTCTCTAGGTCCATAACTGTTGTCACGAATGGCAAGATTTAATTGTTTTCTGGCTGAGTCATATTCCATTGTGTGTGTGTATATGTATATACACAATATCTTCTCTATTCATCCATCGAAGGACACCTACATTGCTTCTACATCTGGGCTATTGTAAATGCTGCTGCAGTAAACATAGGCACGCAGATACCTTTTTGAATAGGCCTTTTTGTTTTCTTTGGATAAATACCCAGAAATGGATTGCTGAGTCTTATAGTAGTTCTATTTCTAAGTTTTTGAGGAATTTTTGTATTATTTTTCATTGGGACTATATCAATTTAAGATCCTAGAAATAGTGCATAGGATCCCTTTTCTCCACATCCTCACCAACACTTGCTATTTGGTGACATTTTGATGATAGCCATTCTTACTGGTGTGAGGTGGTATCTCATTTTGGTTTTGATTTGTGTTTCCCTGATGATTAGCGCTGTTGGGCTATGTGTGTTTTCTTTCTTTCTTTCTTTCTTTCTTTCTTTCTTTCTTTCTTTCTTTCTTTCTTTCTTTCTTTCTTTCTTTCTTTCTTTCTTTCTTTCTTTTTTTCTTT